GGCACTGATATGTTTGTTAACAATAATTAGTCAGTCAGTGTCAACATGTCAAGCAGGCAAGGGGTGATAATTAACGAAGAACAAAAATTAATTCACACAATCAGAAAGGTAGAAATGGTTACATACAACACGTGGATTGCATAATGCATAAATTTGGAAAAAATGAAGAGTAATTAAGGAATAAGCGTGTGCACAGGTTGATTACGTAATAAATAGATTGTTAAAGAAAATAAAACGATTTGAACAATGATAATTTGTGAGTTATTGATCGACAGACTGGTGTCAGCTAAATTAAAATTAAAGAAGGAAGATTAGTGGCATCACCTACATTCAAGCCAAATTGTTAGAGGTGTGTTATGAGAAGACTAGAAACCGTAGTCCCGCCAATAATCTCAAACCAAAATTCTGGATACGTTACCCGCACACGCCACATTCGAACAATCTGATTGGGAACATTCACAACAAAATCGAAAACGTTTCCAACGAAATCAGATTTTGAAAGACAAGTGGAGTTGCAGAGAAAAAATTGATTTTTTGTTTTTGTTTGGCCGCCTTTGTCAAACAAACACACAAACAAACATTAGAAACACACGTATACAAAACAAAATCAACTCATACCGACCATATTATCAACCAAGGGACGAGTGTAGTGCTCAGCAGTTCACTCCGTCCTTCTCTTTGGCTCTGAAACATGGCCAATACGAGTTGAAGACATGAAAAGGTTGTCTGTTTTTGATCATAGATGTCTACGATCTCTTTCTCACGTTAGGTGGCACAATAAGGCAAGTAATGTTGTCGTCAGGCGTAGAGTGTTGGGCAAAGAGGGAAAATCAATCGACGAGGCTATAAAATTACATAGATTGAGATGACTAGGTCACGTGCTGCACATGCCTAACCATCGCCTCCCCTCCCGACAGGCATTACTAGCTGATATATAGGTGCAGGTTGGAAAAGAGTAAGTGGTGCCATGCCGAACAAAACCATGGCCTCATCAATCCATGAAATCCTTGACAGTTAAACTGAGTCAGGTAGGGAGGGAGATGCAGACTTCCGGGTTGGGGCCCACCCTCGGGACTCTAAGAATCAATGGCTGGAGACAGACAATAGGTGACATACATGGCTCGAAATCGTTGTCAATGGCTTACGCAGATGTATTCAGTCTCTTGTGTAATCCTTCATATTCCTTTCTACCATTACTCATTCTGTTTCACTCTTATACTTGTCAAAACTCTATTGATTCTCTTCACTCATCAATCTTCTTGTCTACCTTTGTGTGCTATTTGGAACGTGGCAACTCGAACTGTTGCACTTTGGTGCCAAGTTCTATGTTGGATCCAGTTAGCCAGCAGCCATACCGACCAAATGATCAATTGTAACTGCAACCGGACATCAAAAGACTTTGTGAAATCTATCTCAGTCGGAATACCACACTAATTCGCCTCTTCGTCTCTTTCTCTCTTGACGAATGGTTTAGTTAAACAGTGCCGTAGTTTGAGTGAAAAATATTTGAGAAATCGACATAGGAATATTTCCACACGATGACTGTGTTGAGAGCTGTCTGCTGGCCAAATCGGTAGACAGTAATTTACATCAATGTGTACGTCCCCAATGTTAGTCATGAGAAAGCAACAAGAACAAAGACTGTTTCAATAACCAATCACGGCACACTTTGTTTGCGTAGGCGGATACAATTAGCAGATAGATGGATGATCTGACCTTCAAGAAACAGGCACAAAGAGAAACAACCACCAATCAGATGACTGTGTTTCTTTGCTAACAATAATCGATAATAATGTACATGAAAATCGATAAATATGTCTTGATTTCGTAAATAAACGATCTGTTGCCTGACTGGTCTTGTCTTCTGTTGTTACACTAGTAGTTAAAGGCAGCCTATTATTGTTCCCTTGGGTTCCCGGTGGGACTCAGGGCTTCAGCAGCACCAGCACACTTCCACTTTTATTCCTGTTCTCTGCAGTCCCTTCAGCCAGCTCAAAGATTGCCCATAAGCTCCTGTTTACTCCTAATGTCAAACAACCTACTACAAATCACGCTTGAGCTCTTAACTCGTCATTTTTCACCACTAATCATCCACTCGAGGCTCTGTCTGACATGCAATTTCATTCATTGGTCTCCTATGTGTGCGTGTGTATTTCCAATCCGCCCCCGTCCCCTGCATTTTCTTCAGAACATATGTTGGTCAGTAGGCCCTTGGTTTCTTCGTGCTGAAAATTCCATAATTGCGTCAAAAATACTGTGTGGAGTCAAGCTATAATACAATTTTTTTTTAATTGAAATTTCCTACAATCTGATGTTTTGATGAAAGGCTCAGAAATACTTTCTGAGCCTGTCACTCAACAAATTTATAAGCAGACTTGTTATCCGATCAATTCAAAACAGACCTGAAATTGAAGAGGGAATGATCAATTGTGATCTATAAAACACAATTACATGCATATATGCATGTTTATATACACAGAATATTCTAGATTAGTAGTCAATAACAATATTAAATCACGAAAAATACCCATTTATTCATAAGTAAAAACACAGTTTTTGTTCAGCGAAGAAATTTCTTTTCAACGACTTCATTTTCAAGCTGTACAGTCGTATTTATATTACAGAAAAGGTCATTAAGAGGCACTAAATAATTGCTCAGTCAATATACGTATATGTGATAAGAATAACGATTATTAAAATCTTATAAGGGGTAGAGTTGAAGTGGATAAATTACAAAATTATTAAAGATTGTTTTATAAGTGAATTGAAAAATGTTTTAAAAAGGTCAAGTGTTGTCTAAAAAAATTTTATCAAATAAAAGTACGATTACGATAAGAATGAAGATGTGAAGTGAAGTGGAAAGAATTCAAGTGGTAAAATAAAATAAAGTAAAAACTAGAAAGAACATTACTATGACCAAGGTAAAGAAAGGGGTTTGACAAAACGTTTTTGAACACATAATTTAGGTTTCTGTTCATGTATAGCTAAAGCTTCGGCTATGCATAAGTGAAGAAAACGTAAACTTTTGGATCGATTCGATTTTGCCATATAGATAACTTTGAAAGATGAATCACGTGGGGCTAAATGACCTGACTCTAACAGGTGATCACAGATAGACGACTTCGCGGTTCTACGTTCGCCTTTCATTAACCAGACTGGATAGTGTTCAGCTACACGTTTTCGGAGATTACGCTTACAACGTCCAATATAAACCGCTCCACAAGAGCAGGTAAAAGAGTAAATACACATGGATGTGGACAAAAGCGGTAATCTATCCTTGACGCATTGTCTGATCATATTTCGGCTGGTAAAAACTAGTTGTAAGTCAGCTGCAGGAAAAGTACGTTTAATACATTTAGATAAACGATTTTTAATCAATTCCGAAATGGTGTCACCTTTGAATGCCAGACTCATAAACAGTTTTTTCTTCGGCACTGTAATTTGTCTAGGGGCGTGTTCTTTCTTGATGTTACGTTCGATAAACCTTGTAGGATAACCATTATTAAGGAGATTTGATCGAAGCTTATCTAGTTCACTGTCGATTGTCTCTGCAGAGCAGATTTTACGAATTCTAGAGCATAAGGAATGAATAAGATTTCTCTTCCTCCCTAACGGTACCCAACTGTTGAAGTTAGTGTACTGCCCAGTGAATGTTGGCTTTCGGTAAATAGACCTTAGCAACGTACCATTCTCTCTTCTATCTAGCTTTACATCAAGGAAGTGAAATGAGGAATTCGACTCTTCTTCGACCGTGAAAAGCAAAGATGGGTGAGAACCATTAAATATTCCAAGAAGTTCAGCAGTTGAAGAGTTTTCGTCACATACAATGAAAGTGTCGTCTATATATCTTTTATACATAGACAAACTATCGATGGTTTCCTTTAGTGGGCCATTCTCTAAGCTAGCCATGAAGACGTCCGCTAAGAGCGGTCCTAAAGGAGAACCCATTGCGACTCCATCCCTTTGATTATAGATGACATCATTAAATCTAAATTGCACATTCAGTGTGCATCTCAGTAATAATTGTTTAAGATCTTCAGTTGGTAACCCAATGTTCATGCTATTTGAATCAATATACTCACATAGATAGCAGATAGTGTCTACTAGTGGTACATTTGTGAACAAAGAACAAACATCTAGCGAAATCATATGCTTACCAGACACATTAATTTCATCAACATAACTGACAAAGTCAAAAGTATCCGAAAGACTATGTTTACATAGATTTAATCTCACTGGTTCCAGAATTTCCGCAAGCCACTTAGCGGTAGGGTGATACGGTGAATTCAGCATATCCAATACAGGTCGCAGAGGGACATCATCTTTGTGCACCTTTGGAAGACCATATAAACGGGGGATAGTTGAACCAGATGGTTTAAGCTGATCAAACATATATGGAGTAATGACGCATTCTTGCTTTAGTTTTATCAAAGTTTTTGATAATTCTTTCTCAATGTTCTCTGTCTTGTCTTTTTGATCAGGTGATTTTTGAAATTTATCTTCATCACTCAGAATGGTACATAGTTTGTTGACATAGTCATCACGATTAAGAATGACAATACCTGATCCTTTGTCTGGACGAATCAGTATTATGTTTTTGTTGTTAAGCAATTCATTAAGCTGTCTTTTGTGTTCTTTTGTTAACATATGTCGTTGTCTGCCTTGCGTTCTTTGGTACTGGTAATAACAATGAAGTAATGCAGATTTAAATTGTTCAACGTCTTCACTAGACGTTGGACTCAAGTCGTGTGTTTGATTCATGAGATTTTCAAACTGAACTTTTGTGTCTAATTCGTTGACTCTGGACGAAAAGGTAGAGAACTTCAGACCGAGAGATAGGATTTGCATTTGAATATCAGACAAAGATATATCAGAATAGTTGAAAACGTATTTTTCTGGCGAATCCGGAAACTTAAATTGAGATTCAATTGTTTTGCAACTTTTCAGTACATTTACTCTAACATCTTCAGATCTTTTCTGTATGACGTCAGAAATATAATCCTGGAAAAGGCTACGTTCTGTCTCTGTTAGTTCAAACAAAAAATGCATACGTTGAGATACGTTATTCTCAAGTTCAGGGAGACGTGTTTGTATGGCATCGATCAGGTTCAAAGTATGACGTTTAAGAGTTCGACCGTTAGGATAAATATGATTACGGCGTAAAATTTTCCAGTAAAATTTAGGATATTCACCATTCTTAATGCAGCTTTTGAGAGTATCAGAATTAGCATTCGCTTCCGCAAGCTTGACAGAATATCGAAGAAACTCACTAAGTCCCTTTACTGTCAATCGGTCCTTGCACGCTTTTAAATCACGAAAAATACCCATTTATTCATAAGTAAAAACACAGTTTTTGTTCAGCGAAGAAATTTCTTTTCAACGACTTCATTTTCAAGCTGTACAGTCGTATTTATATTACAGAAAAGGTCATTAAGTGGCACTAAATAATTGCTCAGTCAATATACATATATGTGATAAGAATAACGATTATTAAAATCTTATAAGGGGTAGAGTTGAAGTGGATAAATTACAAAATTATTAAAGATTGTTTTATAAGTGAATTGAAAAATGTTTTAAAAAGGTCAAGTGTTGTCTAAAAAAATTTTATCAAATAAAAGTACGATTACGATAAGAATGAAGATGTGAAGTGAAGTGGAAAGAATTCAAGTGGTAAAATAAAATAAAGTAAAAACTAGAAAGAACATTACTATGACCAAGGTAAAGAAAGGGGTTTGACAAAACGTTTTTGAACACATAATTTAGGTTTCTGTTCATGTATAGCTAAAGCTTCGGCTATGCATAAGTGAAGAAAACGTAAACTTTTGGATCGATTCGATTTTGCCATGTAGATAACTTTGAAAGATGAATCACGTGGGGCTAAATGACCTGACTCTAACAGGTGATCACAGATAGACGACTTCGCGGTTCTACGTTCGCCTTTCATTAACCAGACTGGATAGTGTTCAGCTACACGTTTTCGGAGATTACGCTTACAACGTCCAATATAAACCGCTCCACAAGAGCAGGTAAAAGAGTAAATACACATGGATGTGGACAAAAGCGGTAATCTATCCTTGACGCATTGTCTGATCATATTTCGGCTGGTAAAAACTAGTTGTAAGTCAGCTGCAGGAAAAGTACGTTTAATACATTTAGATAAACGATTTTTAATCAATTCCGAAATGGTGTCACCTTTGAATGCCAGACTCATAAACAGTTTTTTCTTCGGCACTGTAATTTGTCTAGGGGCGTGTTCTTTCTTGATGTTACGTTCGATAAACCTTGTAGGATAACCATTATTAAGGAGATTTGATCGAAGCTTATCTAGTTCACTGTCGATTGTCTCTGCAGAGCAGATTTTACGAATTCTAGAGCATAAGGAATGAATAAGATTTCTCTTCCTCCCTAACGGTACCCAACTGTTGAAGTTAGTGTACTGCCCAGTGAATGTTGGCTTTCGGTAAATAGACCTTAGCAACGTACCATTCTCTCTTCTATCTAGCTTTACATCAAGGAAGTGAAATGAGGAATTCGACTCTTCTTCGACCGTGAAAAGCAAAGATGGGTGAGAACCATTAAATATTCCAAGAAGTTCAGCAGTTGAAGAGTTTTCGTCACATACAATGAAAGTGTCGTCTATATATCTTTTATACATAGACAAACTATCGATGGTTTCCTTTAGTGGGCCATTCTCTAAGCTAGCCATGAAGACGTCCGCTAAGAGCGGTCCTAAAGGAGAACCCATTGCGACTCCATCCCTTTGATTATAGATGACATCATTAAATCTAAATTGCACATTCAGTGTGCATCTCAGTAATAATTGTTTAAGATCTTCAGTTGGTAACCCAATGTTCATGCTATTTGAATCAATATACTCACATAGATAGCAGATAGTGTCTACTAGTGGTACATTTGTGAACAAAGAACAAACATCTAGCGAAATCATATGCTTACCAGACACATTAATTTCATCAACATAACTGACAAAGTCAAAAGTATCCGAAAGACTATGTTTACATAGATTTAATCTCACTGGTTCCAGAATTTCCGCAAGCCACTTAGCGGTAGGGTGATACGGTGAATTCAGCATATCCAATACAGGTCGCAGAGGGACATCATCTTTGTGCACCTTTGGAAGACCATATAAACGGGGGATAGTTGAACCAGATGGTTTAAGCTGATCAAACATATATGGAGTAATGACGCATTCTTGCTTTAGTTTTATCAAAGTTTTTGATAATTCTTTCTCAATGTTCTCTGTCTTGTCTTTTTGATCAGGTGATTTTTGAAATTTATCTTCATCACTCAGTGTGTGCTTTTTAAATAATATCGATTTTTAAAGTAAGATCACAATGGAATCACCACATTTCATTAAAGATGCTTAAATTATGGTAATAATAATAAAAAACATATAGTAGCAAATAGAGTATCAAATATAATTAGGAAAATTACACAAAAATTCAGGATCATTCAAACCTGGATGGCCAAGCGGGTAAGGATAATGTCTGAACCAACCAACTTCTTTTGGATGCACAAATTAGGCTTGTTAATATGGATCCCAACGGCGAGCCTGAGCAATATTTAGTAGTCGAACTTTGAAGGCGAAATTGAGATTCGTTGGTATGCGGTAAATGACCCTGGAAACCACCTCGTTAACATCAATCATTCTTGTGTTGTGTATCCACAAGATGAGTGAGCTAGAATAGCGCTGCGAATAGATTTTGTTTTTCCTTTACTTAACCAAGCACTGTGCAGGGTGATGTTCGGAAATTCAACGAGACACTCGCCTAATTGTACGGCCTATGCAAGTAACTGGCTGGCTCACTCCTCAGGGCAGTTAAATTAGTAGATACACACAGAGGAGACGAAATTCGACAGTGTATATTATACTCCTTAACGAACGCAAAAGAGGAGTGGTTTTGAAGGTATAGCGTGATTCGGAAGCAGAACTGAATGCTCTTTTTACCGCCTCATTTCTAAGGCGCTGTGTTAGTATCTCGCTAATGTTGTCCTCAAAGTTCTGCTGGTACTTTGGAGTGCCTTGATTTTAGATTCATTTTCTTATCAATAAACGTTTCTGGATAACCATTTTCACTCATCAACCGTTTAATATTATTAAGTTCCTCATCAAGACATTTATCCGAGAAGATTGCTTTTGCTCTGTGGCGGACCAAGCACTTTATCAGATTGCGTTTGTATTTCAAGGACACGAAGCTGGGGAAATTAGTATACTGACAGTCAGTTGATGTAGGTTTTCTACATAACCTTCTTCTTACTGTTGTGCCATCCTCTGTTGTGGTCATAAGGACGTAGGCTAGAAATGGAATACTAGAGTCTTTTTCTTTCTCAATAGTAAAATTTATTGCAGGATGAACCTCGTTGAATTTCGTTAATCGTGATATGATAAGTAAGCCAGTTGTCGTACTTCACAAATGGATGTCAAAATGTTGACTCTTCAAAGGTTCTTTATAATTTCAAATACGAAATTGCTGATGAATACGAACTGGAGTGAATACTTACTTAAACAGGTGTTTGTTACATATATTGTGTCTCAATGTACCATCACTGTCTATACATGAAATATTAATAATAATAATCTACTTTATTCCAAAAACAGCACTACTTATAATACAGAATGGAATTCTCAGCATTTGTCACAACACCTTGCATCTGATTTACTCCTCAAAATATAAATAAAATTAAACATTAAAACAAAATTAACCAGAGCAGAGTTTGTCCACATTTACGATATAAAGTCAAAAATATTCGAAGTACAAATTGAGAATATTAAATATAATAATATTAATAATAATAACAGTGAGTTTGTTTCAAACAGTATTGTCGATTCAGTCTGGAGATTTTAGCATGTTATTATGGGATATTGAATCTAATGTTCTGTTGATATAACAGCATGGTGAGGGAAAATAGAAAATTAGCACTTATAACACAGCTAAAATGATATTCACAATTATGAGAAAATAAATAAACAAATAAAAACAAAAAATTGAGAGGATTCTAAATACAAGAAGAATAACAACAATAAAGGTTGATGTTGGAAGGGTGGAGGAAATGGTTTATTTAGTGGTGCTAAGATGGTTAGTTAGTTCATGTCTAACACTATTTTCATCACATAAAATACGTGCCGCCAAATATGGTATAGTGGAATTTTTATACTTAGACGTAGGTGCAAAAAGTCTTCTGAAAAGACTTCTTGTTTTACCTAAGGAGGAGACACAAGGTTGGAGCTGTGGGTGCTGTGTTGGATGCTCACAGTCTGACAAAATTCTTTTAGCAAATTCATTCCATGAAATCAATTGCCGGTCGTCAGTGATGATGTCAACGATATGGCCCAATGGGATACCACTCGTCCTACTGACTGATAGTCTTCAGAGTTCTACGAAGTATGATGGGATAAGATGACAGTTCTAAAATCTAATGTAGCAGCATGGTGGATGGAGGGAGAGATGGATAACAACGGAAGCTTTGTTTATCGAATCAACTGAGAGACAATACGTGTAATAGGAATGATTCAACACCTGTCCAACCAGATATCTGGTAAATTCTACTACCCCAATGACGACGACAAATAGGAGAGGACAAAGAAAACTATAAAACTCAAGTTTCGAAGTTGTGTGATTATAACGGATGAAACGAATATGAACAATAAAAATTTTTGTTCAAAACGTCATCCAGTCAATACTAATACTGTTTCACTGACTGTGTGTGATACATCTAATAAACAAACTAATATGAAATTGCTTACTACCACCACAATGCCCAAGTTTACAATATATTAATGAGGCTTTGTGCATCACAAATGCATCACCACATAACACCACATAACCCATCGAAACTCATCACAGTACACCAACATACACTCACACACACACACACACAAACATACACACCATATCTATCTATCCATCTATATCCGTATCACTTTCCATTAATAAAGCATTTCCTGCCCTGAAATCAGACCAGCTACATTGACACTCAGTCAGCGAAACGCATTCAGAACAGAGTAAGTACAAAGAAGAAATACAATGCGTGAATACACATCAACTAGAATGAATGTCATGCCACCCCCCCCTAGTACAGCAGGCAGTCATGCACACACACAGGCATGCACGCATGCAGATTACGTGTGTACCTACCTGCCTGTCGTGTACAGTCGAAACAGAGAGACAAGTAGCAGTGAAATCCATTCGTGAAATTTTATTAGCTGTTTTATTTTGCTTCATGTTGGATCGCAAAATCTCACTGTCTCATTTATAGTTCACAATCCTACAGTTTTCTATCAATCCAGTACAGCCTGTTTCTGTTATATCAAATAAGGTTAAGTGGAATTCACTCACTCACCCATCCCTCCATCCATCCATCGGTTGTTATTCTCTCTTGGAATATTCACACACACACACATCTGCATTCATATGGAGTCAACGGCATCAT